GGATTTACACAAGCTTTAGTCTGGATCCAGAAGACCTGAGAAGTGATGATGCAACCCCTCAGAGGACCTCTGATGATGCCAACCCTGAAACAACTTACAGAACTACCACATTTTGCTATAAGTTTGATTGCATCATATAATAATTGTTGTTAATATTGTTCATCGTCTGTTTTATTACGTCTTAAATTGATTTTTCCGTACTGCTGGTTCGTCTGGTCAGAGGAGAACTGGCCCCCCGACTGAGCCTGGTTTCTCCCAAGGTTTTTTCTCCATTCTGTCACCGATGGAGTTTTGGTTCCTTGCCGCTGTCGCCTCTGGCTTGCTTAGTTGGGGACACACTTAATTTCCAGCGATATCGTTGACATGATTGCAAAGATATTATTTAAACTGAGCTGGATGTTGACATCACTGAATTCAATGATGAACTGTCTTTAACTGAAAAATTAGTGTTTACTATTGTCATTTTGCATTATTGACACTATTTTCCTAATTAATGCTGTTCAGTTACTTTGACACAATCTGTATTGTTAAAAGCGCTATATAAATAAACGTGACTTGACATTTATTGGATACAAAATGCAGTAAAAAAAATGAAAATTTGTGAAATATTATAACAATACTCAAATATTTAAAAAATATAATTTATTCCTGTGATGGCAAAGCTGAATTTTCAGCAGTCTTCAGTGTCTGCTTAATATTTTTATTTATTTTGTTGTGGAAACCATAATACATTTCTTTTCAGGATTCTTTGATATATAGAAAGCTCAAACGAACAGTATTATTTGATATAGAAATCTTTTATAACAATATAAATGCATTATAAATGCATTATACTTATTTTTAAAGAAATGTTATCAATTGAATGCACCCTTTTTGAATTAAAGAATTAATTTCTTTTTAAAAAAACTTATTGTGCTTTTGTAATTTCATTACTGAAAAGTCTCAAAAATTGTTCAAGCTAATTAAAAATGGCATATGTTTTTTTTATTTTTAATTAATTAATTTTCATTATTTTTGCAGTATAGAGTGTTCCAAATCAGTGATAAGGTAATGGAACTTATAAGCAGTGTTGGGGAAAGTTACTTTTAAAAGTAATGCATTACAATATTGCGTTACTCCATAAAAAAGTAACTAATTACGTTACTTAGTTACTTTTTATGGAAAGTAATGCGTTACGTTACTTTTGCGTTACTTTTTAAATCTGGACAGGGCTTGCTTGTTTTTAAAATAAAACAAGTTCTATTTTTGGCCTTTTCACACCAAAAGTGAAATGAATAAGCCTCAGGCTGAAGGGAAAGTAAATGTACGTCCGTACAGTAGAATGCAGAAGAAGAAATTTCAACACACTTCAGCAATAAAAAACAAGACACACAGATGTTTGTCTAGAGTAATTTTTGCTTATTAGTATATTTGAACTGGATCATCGAAGGTCAGAAGCAAAGACATTGGTTAATAGAATGGGATTAAATACACAAAGCATATTTGTGTTGTTTAGCATTTAATTATTGCGGGTTTGCGTCATATTCTGAGTTGCATTATTTTTATTCATTTTGAGGAATACAGAATCTGTGTGTTTGTTTTTTGTGAGTGAGTTACTTATTTGAAAACGTAACTCAGATATTCTCTTGTAAATTAAAAAGTAATGCGTTACTTTACTAGTTACTTGAAAAAAGTAATCTGATTACGTAACTCACGTTACTTGTAATGTGTTACACCCAACACTGCTTATAAGGTTACATTTCAGTTAGGATGCTGCCTTCTACTGTAGCTTCCTATATACGCAGCACGAAGGTTTTGGAACAGAGCTGTATGTGTGTGATCTTATCAGATCTGATTTAGTAGTGACTGAATGAGTGTGCTGCAGGTAATCTAGAAGTGAAGTGAAAACCCGCCACAGCAGCTGAGGCAGTTTGAGAAGAAATTAAGCCCAGCTCTGCTGATATCTCACTTACACCACACACACTTACAATGAGACCATCAGCCACCAGCCTACAGTGATCTCTTCAGCAGCTCTTCCTGTTTGTCCGTAAACACACAATCTGTCAGTGTCCAGGGACACACACACCTCCACCATCATCATGTGAAACAGATGAGAGCCTGATGTGGTGCTAGTATCAACCCAAACCATCACCACACAGCTCTGAAAAATAATAACCTGCCTGACTCAGAGTTCATATACATGATACTCATACATACAAAACTGCTTACAGTATTGCACATTTACATTTCATTTCAATGCCAACATGCTATTTCCTGTTAATCTATATAGGCGATATTAAAAAAGCCATGACTGAATGCATTTTGTCTGCAGGAGTGAGGCATCTTGCTAGATAACTGCCAACATTGATATACATTCCTTCCAGGCATATGAATAAACAGTACATTACTTAATAGCACCATTTCTAAATGGACACTGACCGGTCACACCTCCCATAAGGCGCGAATCTCCCATTCCGACACAGCCAGACATCTTAACAAAGCTTAGCTGAACTGAAACCAAAGCCGTAAAAACACTGAGCACATTAAGGGAGGACTGAGCTCTGAGATTTTCTGGAAGATTAAAGCCAGAGGCTACTCCAGCAGGGGGTCCGGGGCTAAAGACCCAAACGCCAGCTGGTGGTGGCCGGGGTCGTATCCGGCAGGTTATTCTTAGTGGCGGCTGAGCGGTTTTTTACAGCTTCTTCCAAAATCATCATGCTAACATCAGAGCTTTCACATGTTCCCCTGTCAAGCAATCAACTCCATACAGGATTTCCAGGGGATTTGTTAATAAATGAAGATTAGAGGCATGTACCACATGGGACGATTAGTTTTACACAGGCCTTATCACCAATGTTCTTACTTCTTATGTCGCGACCGCGCAGAATAAATAATATGCTGCGCACAGGACACCTTCTCTGTCACACAAAACTGAGTTGGGAAAGCCATTGATTGAATTCTAGTAAATGCGAAATAATTGCAATGTTCGGGCAAACCGCTATAGAGTTAGAACACGGTTTACAGGTTTCAAAGAAAGAGAATGAAAGAAAGAAATCGAATACTTTAATACTTGTGTACTCAACACTAGAGCCAACGCAAACGCAATGACGTGAAATAAAACGACATCATGTTTTAAAGAGTGGCTTGATTAAGTGGTGGAAATAGCGAATGATAGGCACAGAACAGTAACAAATCTCTGAGACATTTAAAGTCACACACAGGTGTATGCAAACTCTACTACTCTAAACTCTACTTAGATAACTATATAAGAATTCATGTTCACGTTTAAAAAAAAATATTTAGCTTAAACATCTCTGTTTTAATGCTTCAGTTTGTTTTCTATTCTATTCTATTCTCAGTTTAAATGCTTCAGTTTGTTTTTATATTATAGTATTATGAACCTAATAAATAACTGACCTCAAAATGGGAATTCATAAGCAATATCTGCTTAATTTTTTATAATATATTATTACAAAGAATTGAACTGTTCTGATTTTTTTTAATTTTTTTTTTAATAGAATTTCTTGGTAACACAGCACTGTAAAAAAAAAATGTTTTCTCAGGTAACCTAAAATGTGCATTATTTATTATTATTTATTAGTCTGGTATAAAGAATGTTTTTGATCAAGTGGCCGAAATGTCCACCTAATAGAGAAAAGTTTTACTCAGCAAGAAAAAAATCAGAGGGAACATTGCTTATCACTCTTTTCAACTCCCTCTGTTCTCTGACCTCCCACCATATTCCTTTCATTCAAGCCTGTTCACTTGGTTTCTAATGGATTCTGATGGAGCCCTGCCTCCCATCAGCCTACACCTAAAGATGCTTCCAAAAAGAGCATCTTTGATTGGCATGCCGGCTTCGATTGGCATTTCGATGCCTGTCCATGCTGGTTTATGCTAGACCAGCATAGTCTTTCTTGTAGAAGTCTTAATTGTTAAGCTAGGAGAACCAGCATTTCAACTGACCCTCCACAGAAACTACAAATACAAGTAAATTATGTCATTACCTTTTGTCTTTTGAAATCTTTTCTGGCCCTCTGAATCTCACACACACAGCGTGTGACAGTACTTCACACATCTCTATAACCAGTGCAGGAAAACAGAGAACAAACTGACTGCTTTATCTCTCACACATTCTCAAATGTGCCGTTCCCGCGTGATCGTACCTTGTGGTTCTTGCCGTAGCGGTAGATCATCCAGTCCTCTCCGTTAGTGCTGACCTCCAGCTTAAAAGTGGCGACAAAGTAGGACTTGTGTGTCTCTTTGGAGACTGCACCCTGGGTGGCAATGCCCGTCAGGACCTTCAGGAAGTGCAGGTCCACCTAAGGAGAAAAAAAAAAAGGAAAATTGAATTAAATCTGTGTTGCGATAAGGGTTTTTGTTGTAATTAACTGTGACGGGACATTTTTTCGATTGCTTGGTTTCTATTTCTGTGGGTTGTGCTGGGTAGCCCCATCCACCCAAAATCATGGTCCACATTTAAGTATTTTAACTATCAAATTTCTTCAGATTGGTTGTAATTGTCATATCACAGTTTGATGCCTAACGTGGACAGACAAATTCGCAAATTTGACAAATGGCACGCACTAAAAAGTTTAATGCTTGAACAAAGCCTTAGTTGTAAATATGAGTAAATATTTTTATATTTTGTAATTTATAAAAGTTTTTAGTTTTTCCTTTTAAGTTGTCACTCTATGATAGTTTTTCATTTTTTTAATAATTAGTTTTTATAATATTTAGTTTTTAATTTAAGTTTAAATATTTTTGACCTTTTAAAATTAAGTCACTGTGTTAAAGGATAAAATTTAACATTAAATTATACTAAAACTAAATAAGCATTTAAATAATTTAAAATATTACATTTCTCAGCGCCATCTAGTATTACAGTATACTGTATAAAATTAAAAACCAAACTAAATTTTTTTTGTTACCATTTTTTTTTCAGTTTGTTTTGGAATAATGAACATGTATTATTTTAGTGTTTGGTTTTCCAGTTATATTACTTTATGTTAGTTCAGGAAAACATTTTCATATGTTTTTGTTTTCCTAGAAATCCCCACTAAAATCAGGATGATGAGAAAGTGAGATAAGTAAAGAAGCAGAAGGAGAGATGAGAGAGGGATGTGAGAGGAATGAGATAGAGGGAAGAGCTGAAAGATGGATAGAGCTGTGGGAATATGAGGCATCCCCTCCCTGCAGATCACGGGCAGTAGCGAAGGTGTTATCAGAGCCTTAAGATCAATCACCTGAGCTCTGATCGATACTAACCACCTTCATTCAACTCTCCCTCAACTCCCCCCGCAACAATGATGATGATGATGATGATTGCGGTGCAAGAGCTGCCTCTATGCCCCTCCGCCTCTACTGCAGCGAGGTCCTTAATCAGGCATTCAGCTCCTGTCCTAGAGGAGGGCTGTTACCCATGATCCTCGGCTCTCCCTGCTCAGCGGGATGTCATCCGAACATGAGCGCGAAAACTGCAGCGTTTGTTATCTGTCAGAGAGACAGGTGTGGCTTTCACACACAGATACGAGCACACACACACACCTAGAACCTTCTGTAAAGCTGCTTAGGGCCACAGAGAAACACACCTAGACAAAAAAATCAATAGAACCCAGGACTGCTGCTAACTATTTATTCCTAGGAAAGGGCCCTCATCAATCAAGTGGCTGTTACCATCAGAGCGGGCTGTGCATCATCAACCCCTGCATGCGCCCAGAGACCAGGAAGAGAGAGAGAGAGAGAGATGTAGCCTACCACGTCTGAGAAGTGAGTCCCTGATGAATAGTAATAAAGAGAGAGCGAGAGAAACAATGGAAAAAGAGCATAAGAGAAGATCTGATGAGATGCTAAAAAGTTAAACGCCATCATCAGCATCTGTGGAATAATGTTGATTACCACAGAAGATAATTTTGTCTCTTTTCTCAGTCAAAAAAATAAAATAAAATAAAGATTTACATTGTCATAATACTGAGCAGAAAAATGGGATATAATATAATATAATATAATTAATATTGGCCCTTGTAAGTGCCCATTTACCATTATTTTTGCTTAAAAAATACAATAAAATAAAATTAACTGAAATTAGATTCCTTCACAATACTGTATGGCTCTTTTTGTTGGCCATTATTTTGAAACAGTACGTTTTTAACAATTAGCCCTAATTTGCAAGTGTCATACTGTAACCATTATTTTTGCTTAATAAAATAAAATAAAATAAAATAAAATAAAATTAAATAAAATTAAATTAAATTAAATTAAATTAAATAATTATTTTGAAACAGTAAGTTTTTAACAATGGGCTCTAACTGTGCCCACTGTGAAGTGTAACCATTATTTTTGCTTTAATAAACACAAAACAAAATAGAAAAGTAAATTAAACTAAAATATGGTAAAAGTTAAGTACAACTCTAAATAATCTTCCATTGTAAAAAACATTATGCCACAGATGCTTTCAACAACAGTTCTGAACTCGTATTGTGCCCACAGCATTCCTTTAAGGTAACTTCATCAGTTAATTTACCCTGAAGCACTGGATGGATCGATGAATATCAATTGTACGCGGATCTCAGCTGCATGTACACACCTAAAACAGAACAACCTAGCTTATTCTGAACACACACACACACCAGAGCCAAAGCGTCTGGGTGAAGTATAGTCCTCGGGCATGTTGGCATTTACGACAGCTGTTTGTCAAGATGGATGTCTGTGCCGTGGACCCTGAGAGCGAGAGAGTGATGTCAGGTGTTAACACAACCCAACAGCTGCTCTACCAGAAGTCCACAACTCAGCAGCATCTTGACACAAATACGACACACCACTTAAATTAACACCAAAAGTAATGAGTCTCATTCTGAAGGCCTGGTGTAGCACCTAACCCGGCCGACTTCCTGCTAGAACCAGAAATCTCAAATCCACATGTCCGTTCACAAGCCTTTTGAGATTTCACAATGCATGTAAGTAAGTTGAGAGGGATGAGAACTTGTTCCCTGTTCTCTACCCTTTGCAGACACACAAATGAGAGAGAGGAAACCTCACCTGGATGTATTCTTTGTTGCTGTCCTCATTGGGCGTCCAAGAGTTATCTTCAAAGTTAAGCCGAGCCTGTCTTGGGGACCATCGGCCATCATAGAAGGAGGATGACGCAGAGATCTGGTCGTCGCTGATCTTGTTTGACTCCATGCCAAGAGCATTACTGCAGTGGAAATCTAAGGAACACAGAGTTTTTCTTACATTAAATCTGAGATAAAAGACAGACACGCAAATAAACAGCAGTGTTGAAGAGTAACTAAAAGCAGGGCTGCTACTAACTTTGTAATCTGAATCATTTTATTGAATCATATTGAATTAGTTTGTTTAGTTTACATAAAAAAAAATCTTGAAAAATAATTAAAAAGATAAAAAAGCTTCCATTTAGTTAGCTACTTTTTTATTACTTGCAAACTACATTTTCGTATTGGTAGCTAGACCAACAGTTCAGTTTCAAAGCTGAAAGAAAAACATCCCTTACTGTCATTGACCTCCTTGAGAGTCATGTTGTAGCAGGCAGAAAAGCCATCTTTGGCCACGGCCATATCCGTATGAAAGGACAGAGAGAGGATACCAGTGGATGACTGTATTTCAGAGGGGATTTTGGTACCGCAATGCCGCCCAATCAGAGGTCCCACTGCAAAACACACAATTGTAGATGGTTTCTCAGTGCTGGGATGTGAACGGGTCTCATTTTGCTCCAGCCGGCCACTCATAAGATAAGGCTGGTTATTCTGTTTATGTGCCTACAACCTAGAGAACACCACCTCTTTGAATTCTGGGACATTTAACTGTCAATAAATGTGTGATTTAATTTGGTCAGGCTGTAATTCTGTAGAGAGGCTGCTGTCTCTCTGTAATGAATCCATCGTCCATCCTGACACACACACAGGCACTTACACACAAACACACACACTCAGAGTCCCGGATGGGTGAAATAGCCTTGTATCAATCAAGTACATTGATTTTCTTCTCTTTTGGAGAGGAAGGGGCTTTAATACCGCAAGTGCTCTCAAACGGTAGCTTGAAATAACTCTTTCTCTCGCCTTTGATGGTGTTGATGATCGAATCAGGTGGCTACTGTATACTACTTTGATCAGGACGCTATCCCTGTGTGTGTGTGTGTGTGTGTGTGTGTGTGTGTGTGTGTGTGTGTGTGTGAATCTTGCTTGTCGAAAGTTGCTTACAGTCCCCGTCAAAAATCACTTTTCATAAATAAAGGTAAATACAATCAGGCCCAAGTCACAGACAACGCCTTACTTCTGTGTTGGAAAATAAGGTGGATATTATAAAAGAATATATTACACAAATTAATATAATTATATATTTTTTTTTAAAGGAAAATTAAGATGTTCTTCTCTTATTTCATTTATGAATAATGAAAATATGGTGGAAAATATGTCAGATAAACGTAAAAATATTGACATGGGAAAAAATATAAATGTAATGAAAATAATATAATATAATATAATATTAAGTAGTATTTTTTTCATAAGGCAAATAAAGATGTTTTTGCACAGTTAAACATATTTTACACTATATTTTCATAACAGTAATAAATACGGATTGGACAATACAAAACATACTACAATAACATGCAAACACATTACAGTAATGAGTATTTGCTTTTTTATTGTTATATTATATAATGAGAACTGTACAACTAGCTGCTGAACCTGATGATCTTGGTCAAGCTGGTTAGATTTATTAGACCACCTTAAATATACTGTTGTGTTTTAGTGTCTACAAGTATTGTTTGTCTGATTATATGTGCATGTGCAGTGCTACAATATCAAGCCCAAGCCAGAAGCAGAAGGGCGAGGGTGGGGGCAGTATGGGGGTCTCAGGGCTAAAGCATTAATAAGACAGCTGTGGGAAAAGAGTGTATTCCACAGCGATCTGTTCCAGACAAGGATTAAATCCTATTGCAGTGTTATTCACGCCCCATTTTCACTTTCCTGATAAAGGTTACCATGGCTGCTGTTACCCCAGTCCTCCATCTCCTCCACCCCTATGTGTAGAAGAATATGGGTTCTGTGGCTTTTTGGCCCCGACTGGTGCAGATGAGGCAAAACAAGGCCCTGGGCTCCACTTTCATCTGCCAACGCTTGCTACTAAAATAGCTCCAGCGGCAGCCGCAGTAACAGCATGACAGCAATGCGTCTGAGCTTCATACCGGTGGAGCTGCAAGCACAGCGGCCAACAGACGGGTGGTGCATGTCACAGGGCAAAAGCGAAAAGCTGTATAGACTGGTGGATAAACCAACCAGATGGCCCATAGTGTGATAGTGGATGGTATGTGGATTAGAAATCATTAAGTGACCAAATTATGTATGGCAGACATGCAACATACTGATCTCAAAGCAGACAATGAGGTCAGAGGGAAATGGGAAATGCAATCCTCTTAAAGTCACGGGTGGTCTGGACTTTGGAATACCGCGGTCTAATCCGAACCCTGACTGTAAATCCAAACAGAGTTCTTCAGGATTACAACATCTAGACTCACCCTGCGGGAGGCCGTCCCACACTTCCAGCCAGTCGTACTTGCACTCGCCCTCTGAGCCCTGCAAGGGGTCGTTCTCCAGGTCAAATGTCAGGAAGGTGAGGGTGACGTCCATGTGAGGAGGTACGATGATGATGAAGGTGCACTCCAGATTGTGGGGGTATTTGTCAGGGAAGCCGGGTGACTCGATCACACCTGATGGACTGGTGAAGTTTCTGGAACAGTCGGAGCCTTGAAGGGAGAGAAAGCACAAAAAATGTGAAGACAGCAGCTGAAACACACCGTTACATGCATGTGTAAGACATGAAGCTTTTGTATTAACCAAAATCTCAGAGAGTGGACTTGGCTAGAGGGGCATGAGAGACATTTCTTTGCTTTCTTGCACTTTCTTTTGTCTATCGCACACAGAGAAATAGACGCACTCGGTTAGCTTTCTGACAAAAAAATATTGATGTAAACAAAAACGGGGAACATTCATCAAAGTGAAGCTTTAAATCTGAACAGAAAAATCCTTCATCTGCAAAAGTGCTGAATTAGAATGATTTCCCATCCCTGCAGCTGCTGTCAATATTCAGCTCCCGCTATAGTCTGAGACGGCACTCAGCGATTCTCATGCTGCATGTTTGTGTCCAATGAAGGAGAGATTTCTGTGACATAGACAGACATACTGTATGTTAAGGTGTCATTTTGGGACATGATGTTGTATGATACGCATCTCAGTTTAACTTTGTGCCAGAACTGTAAAAGCAAACACACTTTCTCACTCTCTTCAATTGTAGCGTTGAAAAGTCTGATTCATTCCAGCGAATCAGTTCATTCAGATGGTTCTTGTAATTAACATATCCAGAAAAAGGTTAACTGAATGGAGTTCAATAGATAGCATTCTTTGTAACAGAATATTTAGACCATCACTTTATTTTAGACTTTTATATAATTTGTATATATTAATGCACTGTGATCATATGTTGTATAAAGGTAGGTCAAATTATAATTTTTTAAAGATGTTTTTATTCAGGAATTCAAACTTTGTTAAAGTGAGGTAATTTTTATTGTTGATCTGCAAATTTCCGTGGTAGAAATAAGAATATTTTAAACAGGAATTTGCGCAATCAGGAATTTTGTGAGAGGGCGTAAGATTTCACCAAGCAGATTTTGCAAAAGGTTCAAATTAGTCACGTGGATTCGCACACTGACCGACAGAAAGCTACTTGGTTTTAAAATGAATCCTGTTTGACCTGTGCTTCATGCATTGTTACACTATTGACCAAACCAAACAATTTAATTGTATGAAAACAAGCATATTGGACATTCTGCTAAACATTTCCTTTTGTGTTTCACATTAAAAAGAATATCACAATGGTTTGAAACAATGAGTAAATAATGACAGGATTTTCATATCTGCGTGAACTACCCCTTTAAGGCTGTGTAGAAAACCTGTATAGTTTCAAGTTGGTATTAAGCCTATGCTGGATAGTGTTTGGCTTTGTATCACAAAGTAAGTGTTCCTTGTATGCTAACACATGCACAGTCATGCTTCACCTTCAGCCGTGACACGAGTCCTACACACCAGCCTTTGACACGATGCACAGCACGTTCATGTGTAACGCCACATTTTCAGAGGCATGCAGAGTCACACTGCTCATACTAATGCACAGAAGGGCAAACACATGCACACACCTCGACACACCACACATGCAGTCAGCACATGAAATCCCCTGATATTTTCCTGTAATCTCAAAGGATCTAAGTTTGAGGCACAGGAAGTGCCACTCGCATTATTTATGAAATAAAAGTACAGAGGAGAGAGAAAGTAAGAGAGATAGTTTGAGGAGCTGTCAGGGGCTGTGGGGGTAAGACATCAACGGATCAGAGAACAAACGCTCAGTGACCTGTGACTCTTAACTCTTCAATAACCGAAATGCTTTAACTATTTCTGTGCTCGCCAAGCAGCTGTGTGGGAGCTCAGTGTACAACCGCACAACCTGGGAAAGACAACTGTGCTTCACACAACCTCATATCACCTATACACATACTGGAACTGATTTCTTCATTCCAGACTATCATATTGCTACATGAATAGTCCCGTTTCAAAATGAACAGAGCACTATTTAAAGTACTACAGCCAGAGATTGTAGTATAATGTCTGAGACCTCAATAACAGGTCAGTGACCCCATGTGGATGGGTTCAGACCTGCCTTTGAGACTCACAAACATGCTCACTCACACCGATGCTCCCATGCACAAGAGTCTGCAGAGATTCTAGGATATGGCAGATTAGAGGTCCTTTTTTGAGGTCAAAAGGTTATGAGTTTTGAACATTTTTAATAAACCAAAAGTAAACAAGTAAACAAACCAAAATCTGAAGTAAACAAGCTAAACATCGACACCCTGAGTGGAACTTTACCTGTAACCCAATTTACCTGTAACACCATGTTCAGTCCAATCTGTGCCACGTTTTGGACTCAATGACTGTATACAGCTACACTTTTCAGTACAAATCACATAAGTGCATACTTTAAGGGTCTGACACGATCACAGATGGATTCATCGAAGCCACCTCAGAGTTAAAAAAATATATTTAAGTTTGACTATTAGTAATTGCGACTATTTTTCTAAAAGATACTGCTTATTAGAAGACACAACTGAGAAATTAAAATATTTATTATTGTATTAATTATGAATTGTTATTTAATAACTTATTTTTATAACTATTTAAAATATTCTTATAATTATTTATTTTAAAATTATTGGTTTATTATATTTTATTTGTATTATTATGAATTAATCTCAAAGGCGAATCTTCCCTTTGTCACTGCATTAATTTCACGCTCTGACAGTTTAATACCACCAACTTTTTTTTTTTCATAATTGTAATTTTAACTCTCACTATCATGGCTTTATATCTTGTAAATGTGACTTTATATCTCTCAATGTGAATTTATTTTATTAAGTGCATTCCTGTAGCTCAAACATTTATGGATGGTGCTAGAAACATCATGGTCATGGGTTCGATTCCCAGCGAATACAAGGACTGATAAAAATATATATACCTTGAATTCAATGTCGCAAGTCACTTTGGATGAAAGCAACTTCCAAATGCATAAATGTTTATTTGTTTTAAACGTTATCTCACAATTTCCTTTTTTATTAGAGTTTGGTGGTGACAGCTGCGTTAATCACATTTTTAGCGAGGCTAATATGATAGACAAGGGGGCCTGAAGCCCCCTTAAATAGGGTGTAGAATCACCTCGGCTCGTGCACCCAGGAACACACAGGAAACCAGGGTCTGTCTGGCACCCGAGCAGCTGAGAGAGAGACAGGTCCCAGAGAGATAGCAGGCCAGGGTTAATGTTACACCCTCCTGCACTAATACAGCACACTACATCTGTTCAAGGCCTGTGTGTGTTGTGTGTGTGTGTATGAATGTGTCAGACTCACATCCTTGACAAATGGTCATGCATTTCCACTAGCACCTGCTTGCAGATGTCACATGTTTGAATATTACAGTATTTCTCTGTAACACACATGTGCTCTCTTTCCTTATTGTTTCTCCTATTTGCAGTGATCAGTGATATAAATAACTCATTACATACAGTATGTTTACATGGGTGAAACGCAGCTCTAAAACAACTCCCAGCACATCTTGACAGGGACAGACCCAGCATCTTATTCCTGTCCACACAGCTTCTCTCTAGCTAAGCAAAATGTTACATTTTGCAAAGTGTACTTGCAAAAGAGTTTGAAACTGTTATTTCTTAAAACTGTCTAATGCCTCTTTGGCATTTTTTAGGCTTACTTATAATTCTTCTTTTGGAAATGGGAATCAAATGAATTTCAAACAGTTTTTTTCATTACAGACATTAAGTAAATCTAAAACCAAAATGAATTGCCCTTTCATGGCTTGGGTAAAATGTAATTTATATTTAATTTAATATGAATTTGTGTACCAGATGTCAAGCCAAGAATTGGATATGAAATGTTTGAGTTCATATTGAGACTTCTGATCGGGTTACACTAGGAAAATCGAATGATTTTGAGATCTCATTGCTTACTAGAATTGTGATAATAATAATACTAATAATACATTATTAATAATTGTTCAATAAATAAATATAAAAATACACTTACACTTACTTATTGAATAAATAGTTATTTATCTAATTTTATTTGCATTATTAATTGAAAATTAATCCCATTTGTGAATTTTCTTTTCCTTTTATCGTTGCATTTTATTTCCCCCCATTCCCTGACACTTTAATACCACATAAACACAGTTGCGTGAAAGCATCCAGACGGGCACGTTCCCTCCATTACTGGGTCAGATGTGCTGTCACACGCCTTTACCCTGCAGTGGTGACATTATGCTTTACTACAGCTTGTTTCTCAGACAGGCTGTCTGTATGTGTGTGCATACATCAGAGTGTATATTTGAGCGTATGAGACCCTGCCAGTCATGTGCTGACCCCTCATACTCACGCCACTTCAGACAGGCAGACAGTATGCCAGACCCCCGCTGAGCTGCTACTGTACTGAGCTGAAGTATGCATGAGTGACCCCGACGCCATCAGCCTTTTTGTTGGCTCTCATTAATTCATGATTGTGAGCATGGTAATAAAAGCCCGCTTGCAGAAAGATGGGGAAACTCTCCCCCCACCTCTCTTCCAGCAAGGGAAAGCTGCGTCTGGGCTGTGCGTTAGAGGCTCAGCATCGGGAATTTGCGAGCGTGGCTGGGTCTGTCTGGGCCAGAGGGAAATGGGGGCAGTTATTAAGGAGCGTTGCTGGGTAGAATAGGAATGTTTGTCATGGATGAGTGAATGGTGTGTATGTGTGTAAGAGATTACAGTACTATATGTGTGAGGTGTTCTGGCATGATTTTTATCTAAGCCATACTACATACAGTACATGAGCAATGATGCAGATGTTGTGCACGCTTGTTTATGAATAAGTGTATGAGTATTCCTAGCTTTTAGAACATACCTTGCATTTTAACAAAGTTTGCCATCATCTCAATATTTGTTTAAAGGTGGCTCAAAAATTTAAATTTGTTCAGTATTTATTCACCCTTGTGTCAATCCAGACCTGTACAATGATATGTTTTTTCCATGGACAAAACACAAATGGAGAAATGTCACACACTCCTTTTCCACAACAACAATAATTCATAGTGACCATGTCTGTCTCTGAATATATTTTAAAATGTAATTTATTTTCCTGTGTCATTACTCCAGTCT